TGACACTAACATGATGGGTGAAGTTGATGATATATTGCATTCTCAATGGGAGAAACATTTAGAAGATGAGGAAAACATTGGAAAAAAATCTGAGCTTGATCAATATTTGATGGATAATGTAGAGAAGCCAAAAGATTTTAATATCTTGACTTGGTGGAAAGCTTCATCGAATAGATATCCAACTATTTCAAAAATGGCAAGGGATGTTCTTTCTATTCCCGTGTCCACTGTTGCATCTGAATCAGCCTTCAGTACAGGTGGTCGTATTCTTGATTCATATCGGAGCTCTTTATCACCAAAGACAGTAGAAGCTCTTATTTGCACTCAACAATGGATACGGTCACCTTCTAAAGAATGGAAGGTTCAAAGATTATTTGGACGAAGTTCAAAAAATTGAAGAAGTTGAAAAAGGTAATTTACTAATTTAATTCTTAATTCTCCATCTTTGATATTAATTTTCTACTTTGAAAACAACTTTATGCTAGTTGCTATCTAACAAAGTTGAGTTGACAAATGACTCAATATCTAATTACTCATTTATGTGCTAATAATTCTTTTCCTTACAGAATGTCCAGGTGCTCCTTTGAGTATCGATTAGTTTAATGAAGTAGCTTTTTGCAAATCTTTTGATATATAGGTATTTCCTTTCCCTTTATTGAAATAGCGTTTTACAGTTCTTTATTATCTAACAAAGTTAATTTTACAAGTCTAGTTACTCGTTCACGTGCTGATAATTTTCTTTCTTTCAGAATGTATGTCTAGGTGACCTTTTGAGTATATATTAGTTTGGATGAAGAAAATATGCAGCTGGATCTTGGTAGTTGAAGATTATTGGAGTAGTTTTGCAATTCTTTTGTTGGGTTTTTAAGAGAATATTTTACAAACATTATGTGAAGTTCTGTGTTTTTAATTTTCAATGTTAAATAGACTTATTTTTTATAAGATATTTGCTCTTGTTGATCATGTGAGGATCTTGATAATCAAAATTTGTAGAAATCAGATTGAAATGAAATGGTTATTGAGCAGTTGTCAGGTGGCGTTTCTCTTCGTATCTTCTTCTATCTCGATGTGTTGTCTTCTGATGTTATAAAATCCTCATTCTCTAGTTGTTTGCTTTAGTTTTCTGTTAGGTTGATGATGTCTTAGCGTGATGGGTATTGTAACACATATCTGTCAAACAAATATGTAAGCAATTCTTGTAGAATAAAGGCAATTCTTGTAGATAAGTGTAAGCAAATATGTAATCAAAGAGTTTAAGTAATTATGTAATTATGTAATCAAAGAGTTGATTACATATTTGAGTTGACCTATTTGGTGAGGAAACTGAAGAGGAAAAGAAGGCTGCTGAAGAACGTGCTGCAGCATTGAAGGCTTCAGGGAAGAAGAAAGAATCTGGTTTGACAGATGTGTGTTACAGATGAAATGATTTTGTTTGACAATATTTGCTTGGTCTGTGTTGAATTGGCCAGAAAGCAAATAGTTGTCCAAATGTAGAATAAAGGCAATTCTTGTACTAAAAACACCTCTAGCTTGTACAAAATGAAGATGGATAGATGAATATTGGCTTCTCCTATTGTAAAACCTAAACACTCTTTAAAAAAACCGATAAAACCGAAAGAACCGAATAAAACCGAAACCGAAAAAACCGATTTATATTGGTTTGATTTGGTTTATAAACTTAATAAACCGACATAATTGGTTTGGTTTTTTTTTGATAAAAAACCAAACCAACCCGACCTATGTACACCCCTACCCGGAGTTATGCATTGACACATATACACAAAAATTCTCTCTTATATCTCATACTAAATTTACTTCAGGATCATCATCAGAGAAAAATAGAGTTGTTTTTATGCTTTTTTAGAATTTCCTTTTTTTTTTTGTTATTCTATTTTTTTGAAATTGTTGCAGTATTATTTTTGAATTTGTCAAAAGTTGCTTGGACTCAGAGGAGGGTGTTCGATACGGGTGTGGATTAGCATGTCGACTCTTTTATGACCTAATTTTTAAAATCCGAAGATATGAGTGTAGATACGAATATGGATATAGAGACTCGACAAAAAAAACACTAAAAATCTAAAAAATAGCTATAAAGATATAGATAAATATGAGACATTATGGAAAACTAAATTAGATGCATCGAACGCAATATTTGGAATTAATGTTATAATATTATTTGTCATTTAAATAAATATTGTATCTATTTTGACGTTTATTATTATTTTACATATATTTGTTTTTTTATATAAAATTTATAATGTACTTTCAGAGGGACCTAGTCTAATTTCAATTTAAATAATACTTTGATTTAAATTGAAATGATTTTTCATTTTAATAAGGAGAACTTACATAAATTCTACTAGTTTAGAAATTAATTGCATAAACACATTCTAATTTGCAATATTACGTATTTTAACATATTTTGATGCATCCAAATACATTCAAATACATGTATCTCCGAATAAATAGGATTAAAACGAAATGTAATTGTTTATTCTAGATACAAAGTTATAGTTATCAGGACAAATCTCTTCGGAGAAAAGGCCCAAAATAGTCCCTCATCTTTGGGTTAAGACTCAAAGTCATTCTTGAGTTTTCACATGGAGCATTAATAGTCCCTCATGTTTGCAATATTGGTGCATTTTTAGTCCTCCTTCAAAATTTTGCATATTTTTTAACATTGATTTTATCCATAATTTATGTATGTTGTTTAATCGTCATTTTATATATTTAGTAGAAATAATGACTCAATGTGATAGATTGGGAGAAGAAAAACACCTTTTGTGTTTAGTAAAAATCGTATTGCAGGTAAAGTCGAGAGGTTCATCACGACGATTTCACGTGCAATAGTACAAATTTTTCTTTTCTTGCAATGTCATATGTTAAATGCTCTTAGTTTAGCTGCAGTAATATTTTTACTGAACAGAACACTGTGTTCTTCTTCTCACCTTCTCTCACATAGAGTTATTATTTTTATTAAATATATAAAAAGACGATGAGACATTCCTTACATAAAATTATGGACAAAATTAATGTTAAAAAATAAGCAAAAGTTTAGGGAAGGACCAAAAGTGCACCACTATTATAAACATGAGGGATTATTAGTGCTCCACGTGAAAACTTAAGAATGATTTTGAGTCTTAACTCAAATATGAAGGATTATTTAGGGCCTTCTCTCAATCTCTTCGCCTCTCTCCCATTTCGCTCACCAAATAGGGCCCAAATCATGGCCGACCCGGCCCACACCCTTTCTCCAAACCCCCATGCCAGTTCCAAAACGGCGCGGCATTTCTTCCGTCTCGGAATTCAAACAGCAAAGATTCTACAAACTCCTTGATGGTATTAATACTCTAATTTACCCCCAAAAAAAGCTTCAAAGCAGACACAGGACCGGTATATAGCAGCAAAATTGAAGGTATTTTGTTTTCAATCTATTCAAATCTTTACTTTGAGATATCAAAATTTTAGTTTTTACTAAAGTTTTCCTGCTTTGTAATTCAAGAGATTTTAGTTGAGAATGTGCTTTGACTGGTTATGTGAAGGTTAAATTGGACTCAATATACGCTCCAAGTCGATGGACTCCTGAATGTAATGATCTCCCTCCCTGCCGCTGCTGCTGCCTAATGGACGACGTTGATCGCTTATTTGAATGCTTCAAATGCGGCATTTCTCCCCCTCGTAATCGCTCTTCCCTTTACACTTCAATTATTTAAAACTTTTTTTTTTGTTTCCTCCCTTTTTTTCATTTGAAGAATAACATTTTGATGCCAAAAATAACATAAAATGACTGGTTTGATAATTTTCCTAGTTGTAAAAAGTTTGTTTTTCTTAAAATTTGATCTTTTTTAAGTTTACTGTTGCATGACTAGCCAAAGGGTTGCTTTGAACTGCCTAAGATCTGTGTTTACCATTTTTTCGGAGTAATATCTGTATATTACGTGTCTGAAATGCTTACAAGACTTGAATTTTGACCATGGTCTATTTATAAAAAATGGGGCTCAATAGCTGGTAAGAAAACTGCTTCAGTTCAGCAGCAAAATTTGGCAAGTCTTAGAATATGGAACCCAGCTAGTGCGGAATTAAAGCCAAGCAATGTTATAAGAACATAAGTAATGCCTTAATGGTAAGTTGTAAACAAAATAATAAGAGGCACAAATTTAACCAATGTGACTTACATCAACAAGCGGAGAGAGCAAATTTACTCTAACAACCTGTACACAAAAGGGAGTACCAAATTAGAGACAGAGCTCTAATTAATCGCAAAAATATATTCCAAGCGAATACCTCACAATTATCACTCACAAAGAAGAGTTTCTCTCAAAAGTGTTTCCCAACTCAAACTCCATGGAATGTACTAAGCTTTCTATTAAAAAGAATACTCAAGATGAGTTTCTGACAATTTGGGGGATGATTCAAATGAAGGAAGAAGAACAATATTTATAGGGAAAATACTTGGTCTGCAAATAAAGAAAAAGAATGAAAGAAAATACTTTTGTTCTTTGGCTCCAAGAAATTTTACTTTGGCTCCAAGAACAATTGGTTGGCCCCATCACAAGTATTTTGCATATAGCCAAATTTTGGTCATATCTTATGGAAAGAATCAAAGCTTAACTTTTTACATATGGTGCTGTTTAGTGTGGTTTCTTTGTGATCTTAGGCCATAAAAGAAAAAAATAGAAAATATTTGAAAGTGCACCGCAACTATTCCTTCAGTTGTTGTTTGACCACATTTTAAGTGAACTTTAATTTTGATATTTCTCTATTATGTGGTTGTTAATTGTTTCTTATACAAATTTTAGAATCAGCAATAAGAGAAAGGAAAAAGGGAAAGCAGACAGTGAAGCAAAATGATACATTGGAAAAGCTATCAACATCTTCCGATATTTTTTCATCAAGATCAAAGGGAAAGGTCCAAAATGCAACAGATGTTGAGCTCTGCCTACAAAATGTACATATTGCTTTTGTTCCTTTTATATGTTTCATTTTATCAAACTTTCATGGCTTCTTTTTCTTTCCCATTGATAATAAGCTTTACTTTCTTAATTCACGTAGTTTCTTAAATTGTATTTACAAGTACTATTTTTCAAGCACATCCCATGCCGGTGGAAACTACTAACTGAAATTCGAAGATTCTTCTTGTAGACCAGTTCATCAACAACAAAGATACAAAGTCTTAAGAAGGGATCACAGTTCTCTCCCCTTGTGTTTTTTGGTTCTCCACATGGAGTTCCTCCAAAAAGACCAGCTCGTTTGTTGCGGCTGTTGAATGAAATCCGTGTAGATTTTAACGAGCAAAATAAATTAAGGTAATTGAAAATGATTTTTTATCAGTTTTACCCACTAGTGATGGTCATGCATTTTGCTTTTTTTTTTGAAAAAAAGTGTTCTTCCCTGTGTTTAACCAGTCAAGATATATGGGCCACATTTCCAAGGCAAGATGAAGCGATGAAGTATGCAAAAGAGCAAACTGATGCTCGTGTTTTCAGTTACCAGGATCATGTGAATGGTCAAAGAAGATTCCTCGTGTCCACATATAAAGAGTTCTGGAGAAGGTGAGTCTTCTCGGCTCTATCTGCATTAAATTATGTAAAAAGATTATACTTCCCCATGTCCTAAACTTTCTTTGTGTTTATAATTTTGATTAGGTACAAAACTATGAATCCTAAATTTCGGCACCACTATGAAGTTATCCAGGAGGTAATCTTTTGTAGTTTTCGTGTCAAAATAATAAGGAAGTGCATAGATATGAAATTTATTATCAGGTGCTGCTGCTGATAAATATAACTAGGGATCACAGTAAAGAAGTACATAGGAGGTAATCTTTTGTAGTTTTCTTGTTAAAACAATAAAGAATTACGTATCTTCAAGTGAAGTGCATCAAGGATGAGGAAGACAAGATGTTGGTTGAAGAGACCCTTATTAGACGAAGATGACAATCATACTTCCAGTAACACTCGAACGAAGAAGGGGATAGTGCCATTGTGCAGGGTGATTTAGAGCACCTGAGAGACATCAAGATTTTGGGTATTGTAGGTGTATTAAAGTTGAGGATGTTAAGCGTGCTATTAGTAGGATGAATAGGGGAAACGATTAAACCAGATTGGATTCTGGTGGAGTTTTTGAAGAGCACAAACATGAAAGGTACGGAGTGGTTAACTGAGTTGTTTAATGTCATCATTTTTAAGATGACAACAATGCTCGAAGAATAAAAGTGGAGTACAATGGTTCTGTTATACAAGAGCAAGGGTGATATCCAAAACTGTAACGGTTGAGAATATTATTAAATAGTAAAAGTGTGCTCTCTCTAACAGCTTAAGCTTTTAGATGAGATGGTCACACACTTCAACATGGTATCAGAGCAAGCAGAGGTACTGAGATCGAATCTCACCGCCACCTAAATAAAAAAGAACTTCCACGTGCTTGGTCCAAGGAAAAAAAAATCAGGCTCGCACGTGAGGGGGCGTGTTGAGAATATTATTAAATAGTAAAAGTGTGCTCTCTAACAGCTTAAACTTTTAGATGAGATGGTCACACACTTAAATAATAACAATTATAGGGGTATCAAGTTGCTAAGCCACACTATGAAAGTTTGGGAGAGGGTGGTGGAGATGTGGGTGAGGAGAGGTGTGCCCGTTTTCGATAACATGTTTGGATTCATGCCATGGTGATTGACTACAAAAGCTATCTATCTTGTGAGGAGACTGGTGCAGAATACAAGGAAAAAAGGTACTTATATATGTTGTTTATTGGCCTTGAAAAGTCCTACGATAAAGTCCTATGTGAAGTCTTCTCGAGATGTCGGGATGCTTGAAGTATACTAGGGGCTTAAATTAGGGCGATAAATGATATGTATAATGAATCCAAGACTCGGGATAGAATGGTGGGAGGACACTCGGTGCACTTCCCAGATGAGATGAGGTTGCACTAGGGATCAACACATAGCTTGTTTCTATTTGCCTTGGTAATGGATGAATTGACGAGGGATATTCAAGATGAGGTGCCATGGTGTATGTTATTTGGGTCTTTAATCCAGGGAAGTGGGGACATGGATGATGATGTCACACATCGTATTGGTGCGACATGGATGAAGTGGAGGCTTGCCACCGGAGTCTTGTGTGATAAAAAATATCACCTAAACTTAAAAGTAAGTTTTTTAAAGTAGTGGTTATACTGACTTTATTGCATGGGGTGGAGTGCTGACAATTCAAAAACTCCAATGTTTCAAAGATGCACGTTGCGAAAATTAGGATTAAAGGTAAGTTTATAAAGTAGTGGTTGGACTGACTTTGTTGTATGGGCAGAGTGCTGACAATTCAGAAACTCCCGCGTTTTGAAGCTGCAAGTTGTGGAAATGAGGATGTTGAGATAGATAGTGATAAGATTAAGAATGAGGATATTAGGACAAGGTGAGAGTGACCTCCGTTGTCGACAAGACAGGGGAAGCGAGATTGAGATTGTTTGGGCATATGAAAAGGAAATACACAAATGCCCTAGTGAGGAGGTGCGAGGGGTTAGATGTAGTGGGTACCGGGAAAGGTAGAGGTAGGTCGAAAAAATATTGGGGCCTCTCTACCTCTCCACAAGGTAGGGGTAAGGTCTGTGTACACTCTATCCTCCCAAGACCCCACTTGTGAGGTTTCTCTGGGTATGTCGTTTGTATAGTAATCCAGGAGGTAACGTTTTGTAATTTTATCACCACTATGGAATGATTTAGTGAAAGTCCCTTCCAGAATCTTTTGAACTTCCCTTGATTGTCACATGATGAATTCTGTGCACTTTTATATCAAAAGATTACTTGGGATTTTAGTATACTAGCTTTGTATGTGTGTGTGAGAGAGAGATGCCGCCTTTATTTGATTAATAAAAAAGAGAGCCGCTACAGATGTCAAACTGTTATATCTTATTTTCAGGGTGTGAGAAATATATGGGAAAAATAATATTGAATTGTGTATCTAAATAGTTACATTGAGACCCTATTTATAGACACTACATTGGAATCCTTTTCCAACTAGGATTCCTATTCTTATTCCTATTCCTATTCCTATTCCTATTCCTATTCCTATTCCTATTCCTATTCCTATTCCTATTCCTATTCCTATTCCTATTCCTATTCCTATTCCTATTCCTATTCCTATTCCTATTCCTATTCCTATTCCTATTCCTATTCCTATTCCTATTCCTATTCCTATTCCTATTCCTATTCCTATTCCTATTCCTATTCCTATTCCTATTCCTATTCTAAGTAGGAAATACTTATTTCTATTCTAACACTCCCCCTTAAGCTGGTGCATACAAATCATATGTACCTAGCTTGTTACAGATGTAATTAATACGAGGACATGTGAGGGACTTGGTGAAGATATCTGCAAGCTGATCATTTGACTTCACAAATTTCGTAACAATATCTCCCGAGAGTATCTTTTCTCTGACAAAGTGACAGTCAATCTCAATGTGCTTAGTCCTTTCATGAAACACTGGATTTGATGCGATATGAAGAGCCGCTTGATTATCACACACAAGTTCCATCTGATCAATTTTGCCAAATTTTAGTTCTCCCAGCAACTGTTTGATCCAAACTAGCTCACAAGTTGCTGTCGCCATTGCTCGATATTCTGATTCTGC